ATAAGTTAGACCATCTCTTTCCATGTCACTATCCTTAATTTGGCAATCATATTAAAAGCACTACCATTAAGGTGTGTGTCATCAGAGAGTAGTTAGAAGTTTACAAGTCTATTTGATTACAAATCAGATAAGCTCATAAGTTTGCTTCAATTCATATAGTAGATTACTTGTTCAATAACAGATATAAACTCATAATTATGATTGAATTTGATAATGTTGGCCGTCTTAGCCAAGTCACCCCAGTTTAATTGATTGAATTTTGTTAAAACTCTGCCTCATTGATTTAGTAAATATTACCACTATGACCAGTAGTAGAACTTTTCCTGTGGGGTAAACTATTTTTGCATTCATGTAACTAGATAATAATATTCTAGAAATTAGGTTGGTTGGTTTGCATTTAATATCATAATTGGTAAGTAAGACATCTTAATTCATTCCCAAGCAAAGTCACAGTAAGTATTATGGTAGAGAAGACTATTTTAAATGGTTCTTGTGTCCATCTATTATTAATAAGAATACTGACAATAATAAAATATTGTGATAGTGTTGTCTATCATTATACGCATTAAGTTAGGTAAATATAAAAAAGAATTAGAAAATTTTTAATATACAGTTTAACTATTTTATTACTGTTTATTGACCAAATGCTGGAGACATAGAAGGTTGGAATCGTTCTCATTAGTAAATCATTTCTGCGTATTTTCAATAGCATACCTAAGGGACTATATGACATCCATTAATGTTAGAATCAACCCCATTTGACAAAGATTTTAACCCTTCTTGTATGTTTGATGTGTTGAACTTGTTGATGAATATCTGATAACTTATTAGTAGGTTTCTCTGTTCTGATCATCCCATTGTCATTTCTCATAGCTCTTACCACTGTTTTATCTCTTCCTAGCATCGTGAATCATATATTTTCAGAGTTTCGAGAAAGACAATATGAAAACTGTACAGGTTTGATGTGAAATTCTCTGCCAAATTATAAATTTTCATAGCATGTAGACTTTTCATGATTAATTATAATCTAAGCCTATTTAATATTAGCTAACACCCGGACTAATTCCAAATCAAGCTTCATATTCTTTTAAGAGCTGTTGCAATGTCTTCTCATAATGAGACGAGCAACGGAATTTCCTTCACTTTCATCACAGCTTTTATAGTTGTCTATCCATACTCTTGCTTGGATCATCTACCACTTTTTTCTCCTTCATTTTTCTCAAATGATGCACCCTCATTATCTCTCCATCATCTTCTTCCTCACTTTCATCTTCAATTCTCAAACATCTTTATCGGCCGATGATATTCGATACACAAACTGCAGTCTTCCTGTGTACTGTGGAGACCAAAGCATGGAAATCAACTACCCTTTCTGGGGCGTAAACCGTCCAGATTACTGTGGTCAACCGGGGTTCCAGATAGAGTGCCAAGAGGTGTTCCCAAGATCAACTGATGTCGAATACGTTTGAATTCTTCACATTATTCACCACACAGACTCTTAAGGTCGCTAAGTGATTTTCGGTCTAGTATTGTGTCCAGCTTTCTCTTTCAACACCACCCTTGATTTCACCCGCTTCAATTATGCCTCGGGACAAAGGAACCTGACCCTATACTACGGTTGTTCTTTGCGCTCTGATCCGGGCAGACGGTCGTATATTGTCTATCCTGATGCGTTGTAAATGATACCAGCATGGATGTTTTCTATGCGCCCCAGAGTGCCCCAGTTGACCCGTTAATAGTAAGATGCAATAGCAGTGTCATTGTTCCATTTCGAAACAGCTGCTCGAACTTGACCAACGTAGAAATACCATCAACGTTACTTAGATGAAGGTTTTGAATTGCAATGGAATTTAGGGAGCAACCAATGCAACACATGTGTCAACTCCGGCGGGTTTTGCGGATATAACTCAACGGAGAGTCTATTCGTTTGCTTTTGCCGTGATCAGCCCATGCAATTGATGTTCATCTAGTCCAGACCTCCAGCAGGTTTGTCTCCTTCATTACTCTATTATAACTTGACGTGCTCCTCAATTGATTCATCCTAAACTCAGACCTTATATTATATTTGGCACTTCTAATGTTTTTTTTTTTCCTCTGGTTTTTGCCAATTGATATTCATTTGTCGTTGCCCTGTTGGGGATAAATAAGTTTTCTTAAATACCTAAAGGTTGAAACCTGTTCGCGGATGTCCTTTTGATTTTGAGGTCCATTTACGGGTTCTAGTATCGAATTTGAGAATCTTTAAGTTTTCACACCTGTTTCAAATTCTAGAATGGTTATAAGTTTCGTTCAGCTTACGCCTGGAAATATACATTGAACCATCATTTTATAGAGACTATAAATGTCAATATTTCAATATTTAATTTTCTAGGCTACCTAAACTGGTGGACCGCAGCTTCCCGTCAGGAAAAATAAAGGCCTTACTTGGTCAAGTCCAACATTAATTTCTATGACAAGATGTGAAATGCGAACAATTTAGCTCCATTATATTTAAATCAATATTACTTCCACATCTCTCTGTCTGTCTCTCAACATGGCGCTTCATCTCTCTCCAAGCTTCTGTTTATTCTCCATCACCATAACCTTCATCTTAGTCCATGTTCCAACATCTGTTCAGCCATTCATGCGAAATATGAAAACTGTACTGCCCCTTTTCGCTGTGCAAACTTGGAGAATATTGAATATCCTTTCTGGGGAGTGAGTAGGCCAGAGTACTGTGGGTACCCGAGTTATGGTTGGACTGCGAAGGTGAGGTCGCAGAGATTGTATCATGGAGAGAGCTGCAGAGTGCTTGACATCAATAACTCTACCGGCACTCTCACAGTAGCTCTAGAGGATTACTGGGATGACCTTTGTCCCTCGAACCTTGTCGCGGCACTTTAAATTCCAGCTTCTTCATTATACTTCCGATACAGAAAATATAACGCTGTATTATCACTGCCCCTCCTCCTGTGAAAGACATTTCGGCCGCGCTGCTCCCCTTTAAGTTTAATTGCAGCCGGAAGAGACAGACACCAATAATTACTATTTCATATGGGGCAACGAGTTTCAATAGTAACATCTTATCTACCATTAGCAATTACTTCGAAAATTGTGGTACCAACGTTACATTCCGGTGAGACAGTCACATTTCTGTTCTTGAGAGATATCCAGCTTCGGCAAATGTCAGTAAAGCTCTTAAAGAGGGTTTTGATTTGCAATGGTACGCAAATAATACCTTATGTGACAAATGTAAAGACTCGGTGGACTCTGTGGATTTGACACTGATACTGATGAATTCACTTGTTATTGTCCTGATAAGCCTTATTCCTCGACTTTTCCCTCAAAAGGTACATCCCATCTCTTTATTCATTACTCGTCTCCTGAGTTTCCTTAATTTTATTGAGTTAGGGTATTGCTTTTAGACAGACCCAGGTTCAGATGAGCAGAAACTTGAAACTTGATTCCGGGCATAGCATATCCTCTTGATGCTATGTTGTTTCGTTTTTAGATAATTTATTATAGAGGGAGTAACCTACTAGAAACACTAATCAAGTTTTATCGACTTTGGGTTGTAGAAATCGCCCTTTTGTTCAAAGTGTTGACTTTTCCACCAAATCCAGAAAAAATAACTAGAAGACAGGATGTTTTGTTTTCCATTTACGTGTTCTTTGCCCTCTAACCTCTTAAAAACAATCCTCAAATTTTTTCCTTTTCTCACTGGAAGTGTTATCCAGCAATCATCTGCCTGTTGTTTTAGGCCCCTGAATTCATAGCAGCTCTTTCGTCGACGTTCTCATTATAGATAACTCCAACTAGACTGATGTGTTTGTGCTTTTGTTTTTTTACACCAAAACTACAGACTATGCTTCCAATTCCAAATCAGGCGGCTACTTTTAAATTACTCTGCAACTAAACATATTTTAGTACTCCAGATCAAACATGTATTATGTGCTCAACAGTGGTGACCTTCATTGACCAGAGGAAATCAAGTTAAGGGAAATTGTCAAACAAATACTGCTAACACTATAATGTAAAGGTATGGAACTAAGGTATGGAACTCAAGTAAAAAGGTGTATAATAAATATCTTAGCTGTTAGCCATTAGGTACTGGTTTGTTATTGTTGGCAGCCTATTGTGATATTATAATTATTTTTCCTTAGTAGTTACTATAGTTTCATTGACGTGGAGATTGGGGCCAAGTGAGAACATAAGTTCTGATATCTTATTAAAGAATTTGTCAATAGTCAATGGCAATTTCTTGTCCTATTTGTCTATAAAATCTTTGTTCTTGTCCTGTTCAAATTTTAGTGGCACCATTGTCGGCTAACAAAAGCAAGCTTCTCATATGAGCTGAGCTCTAGACCACTTTCTGTTTCATGTTCGTTCATTTTAGTTCGTGGAATAAAGCTGATCTCTAATGATGAACTCTCAAAAATTTGAAACTGTAGTACACTAACACAGTCATCAGTTTCGGCAGGAAATTTAATAACAGCCATTTCAATTCTCAAGAAATACATAGAATAGATTGCAGGTACCAGGGCTCCAATAGTTTCAGTTTCTGAGCTGAAAAAGCTTTCCCTTTTACAGAAGCTCTGCAAACACATATTTACAAACTATGAAGTATGAATATTTTCATGACTTCCGGATTCAGTATTAATTGAAAAGGCTAACTTAGTTTTCTTGATGATTTGTGGCCTGTAATGGAGACTGTCCTGATTGCTACTCTGTTCATAAAATGCTGCTTGACTTTTTGGTTTGTCAATGGCCTCTAATTAATAATTTTGAATACATTCTTTGGGCACATTTCTACTGTGAGATATGCTTTCACCCGCACCTTCTTTCCTGTTTTGTTGGTCAAAATATGTGAACTATGTATGCATAGATCAATTCTCAGAATATGATCATTTTCAACGTAGAATATTTTATATTGAAACGAGATGATCTTGAGTCATGGTTTCCAATTACAACTATACTTGTGTTCTGTTCAAGATCACTGACATTTCTGGATCTCTCGACAGATGAAGGGAAAAAGAAAACAACTCCTCCTAAAGCAGGTGATATTTCATTGAGTTAGAATATCTATTTAACTTTTTCTTTTTTCTAGTAAAGTTAATAATATAGATATAGTCTGAGCAATTTCTTGTTCCATCTTTAGTCAGTTTCTGAGCTGAAAAAGCTTTCCCTTTTACAAAAGCTCTGCAAACACTTATTTACAAACTATGGAATATTAATATTTTCATGACTCCCGGATTCAGTATTAATTGAAAAGGCTAACTTAGTTTTCTTGATGATTTGTGGCCTGGAATGGAGACTGTCTTGATTGCTACTCTGTTCATAAAATGCTGTCTTGACTTTTTGGTTTGTCAATGGCCTCTAATTAATAATTTTGAATACATTCTTTTGCCACATTTCTACTGTGAGACATGCTTTCATTTAGATTTCTACAAATCTTACAATGAAATTCACCTGCACCTTCTTTCCCGTTTTGGTAGTCAAAATATGTGAACTAAGTATGCATAGATCAATTCTTAACAAATGAGAATATGATCATTTCCAATGAAGATATTTTATATTGAAACAAGATAGTCTTGACTTAATGTTTCCAATTACAACTTCACCCGTGTTCTGTTCAAGATCGCTGACATTTCTAGATCTCTTGACAGATGGAGGAAAAAAGAAAGCTTTAGTCATTGGCGTAGCAGTTGCAGTTTGCGTTGTTGCTATATCTCTGGTATGCTGCTGTATATTCATCGTCCTACGGAGGAGGAAAAATGTAGCCCAGTACAAAAGCAGAGACCTTCAAACTCTTACCTCAGGCACAAGCGCAACTAGTACAACAATGAGTTATTCCAAAAGCATCTCTTCTCACCTCTACTCAAAATCTGACCTTGAAAAGGGCAGCACCTACTTTGGAGCTCAGATCTTTAGATATGCTGAACTTGAAGAGGCTACTGAAAATTTCGACTCTTCAAAAGAGCTCGGAGATGGCGGCTTCGGAACTGTTTATTACGGTACAACATTTGTTTGTTAGTTACCCTTGAATACTTTACCATCTCTTGCTCACACCAATTTTATCAAATGTTTGATCAGGCGTACTCAAAGATGGGCGTTCAGTCGCTGTGAAGCGCTTGTATGAGAACACTGTAAGACGCGTTGAGCAGTTCAAGAATGAAATTGAGATTCTAACTCGCTTGCGGCACCCGAATCTTGTGGCACTCTACGGATGCACCTCCAGACATAGCCGGGAACTCCTCCTTGTTTATGAATACATTTCCAATGGAACAGTGGCGGATCATCTCCATGGAAGTCGATCAAACTCCGGTTTGCTAACTTGGCCTATTCGGTTAAACATTGCCATAGAAACAGCCGAGGCACTCGCTTTCCTCCACGTCTCGGATGTCATACACCGTGATGTCAAAACCAACAACATTCTCCTCGATAATAACTTCCATGTAAAAGTAGCAGATTTTGGGCTGTCAAGATTTTTCCCAAATGATGTTACCCATGTGTCAACTGCTCCACAAGGAACACCAGGCTACGTCGATCCTGAGTACTACCAATGCTACCAACTCACCGAAAAGAGCGATGTTTATAGCTTTGGAGTGGTCTTAATCGAGCTTATATCATCCTTAGAAGCTGTCGACACTAACAGGCACAGACATGACATAAATTTAGCCAACATGGCTATTTCTAGAATCCAGAATCATGCATTGAAGGAACTAGTTGATCCATCTCTCGGATTCGAAAAGGATTACACCATAAGAAACATGATAACATCAGTGGCAGAATTGGCTTTCAGGTGTTTGCAACAGGACAGAGACCTGAGGCCTGCAATGCAAGAAATTCTGGAGGTTTTGAGAGAGATTCAGAGCCAACAGTTTGGTGCACAGAAAGCAGAAGTTGTGGATTTTTGCAGTACGGATGATGTTGTGCTGCTGAGGAAAGTTCCTCCACCACTTTCATCACCGGACTCCGGTGGCAATGATAAATGGGTTAGCGGCTCCACCCAACCTGCTTCTTATTAATTACTTCAATGTTTCAAATTCCCTTGTCCTGTTCTTGCCTAATTTTGCAGTTTCTTCTTCATAATAATGAGAGAAACATGACTTCAAATTCAAGTTAGGCACTGTATATAAAAGTAAATGAATCTACCAACAACTCACTGATTTTCATAATTGTGATGCATTTATTCATTTGCTTTGTTGTTCTTTAAATATTGCATTTATCAATTTCATATTTACAACGATCAAGCTTTTTTATCAATTTCATATTTGGGATTTTTTTTTTTTTTTGGTTTAATTACAGATGAAGATAAGAACACTGTGAGCAAAGTTTTGCGGATGAGACTGGTCTTCTTATTGAAGAGGACTCTGGCACTTGAGTTCAGGTTTCATGTAAATTAATATTTGTAACTTCTCAGGGGTTTTTCCGTTTTGTTTATTTATTTATTCTCATTTTTATATTTATATTTTATAATCCATACAACTTTTCCTCTAGGGCTTTTGTTATTTAATGCTGTAAAATTGAACAAATCTTCACTTGTATTTGGTTCTGTTAATCATAAGTAGTACCATTTGATAATGGCAGTTGGGTTATCGTCTATAAAACGTAGTAAACGACTTTTCCTCACACCAAATAATGGTTTAATGATACTTTTTCATCCACAAACTTTTAAAATACTACTTTATTATCCAAATTTATATTCTATTTCCGATTTCGACATCATTTTAACCTCACACTACCATCATTCTCTTCTCCGATCATCACTCACCAAAACCCTTCGAATCCTACGACCGTCAATCGTTGGCAGTCGAGCGATTAGGGTTTACGCAGCTGCTCCTCTCAAATCAAATTCCGATCAATCCTAACCACCAAAATCCTATCTTTCACCATCAAAAGACTTATCAGTCTCCCCTCTTCAAAAATCCTAATAGCCCGAACTGAGTTTGCTCTTTCTTTGCTGCCGAAATATAAATTTAGGTAGTAAAATAATACTTTAAAAATCTTTAGGTGAAAAAATGTCATAAAGTCATTATTTGGATGAGAAAAAATCGTCAACTCCTATAAAAAGTCAACAACTTAGAATTACAATTTTGATTTTGATTTTTGCGGTAAAAAGGTGAGTTATTTGATTTGGTTTAAGTTATGAAAATGACTTATAAGCTTATATTTTTAGGGTTTAAGGTCAAAATTTAACAAACTTCAAATTGACAATTATACATAATAATATTATTATAGTGAGAAGCTTGAAAAAATGCGTTTGATTCAATGGTTTGAAAACATTTTCGTCGCTTTTAACAACAACATACCAAACACTACTAAAATTATTGTTTGTTTCTAATACAATGTCCAACTATTCTCACAAATATCAAATTTTAATAAGAAATATATCTTTAAATAGAGTAAACGACTTTTTCCCACCCAAAGTTTGAATTAATGACATATTCCACCCAAAAAGTTTCAAAATACCATTTTCCCATCCAAAGTTTATATTCCGCTATTACCTAAAGCCGATTTCGGTCGATTCCGATGGTGAAAATTCTTTCTGTCACCACCATTTGAACCTCTGGTCTTCTCTCTACAAAAACCCTCTCACTCCAGCGCTTGATTTCTCGCCGATTGTCTATTATCGCAAAGTTAGGGTTTCTTATTTTTAGTTGATTTCCAGCTGATTCCAATGACTAATATTCAATGGGTTACCACCATTCAATCCACCAGCATCTACTCTACAAAATCTCTCTTACCTTGGCTCTTAGTAACTTGCCAAACGCCAGCTAAGAAAGTGAAATGTATTTTGGGTATTAATGAAATATAAACTTTAGGTGGAAAAGTTGTATTTGGAAACTTTTTGGGTGCAAAAGTGTCCATAAGGCAAGCCTTGGATAGGAAAAAGCCGTTTACTCTTTCAAATATATATATTTTTTATCATCGAGGGTATTCGGACCAGTTTATACGCACTTCAACTAATTCTTTGGAGCCTTAGAACTGTTGATCGGATAAGAGCCTCAATGACCATCCTTATTAGTGCCTGGAAGAACTCAAACTCATGAGCTCATAGAAACTTTCAAATATTATTATAACATAAATTTTCATTTCTAAAACCATATTTTGAAATCCTACATCAAAATAATCTTATCAATTAGCTAAAACAGGTTTTTTTAATACTATTTGTAATTATTGAAACATTTTTGATTTATTAAAAAAGAATGAAAATTAGATAGTATTTATAATTGAAATTAAGAAAAGACCAACCTGCTTGTATTTTGTCTACTTACTACTTAACTCATTAGTCATTACCCATATTTTTCTTTTTGGACTTATAACATTTCATAAAATACAAATCCAAACTCTCTTTTATTATTTCCAATTCCTCCACACCTCGCCACCTGTCCTCCCCTAACTTTAAATCCCATTATATCCTCAACAAAACCAAACAAAATTAAACCGGCCCGATAAAACTCATCTAGCTCTTCCCCTTCCTCACTCTCCCTCTTTCTTTCTCTCTCTCACTCATCATCACCACCGAAACAAAAGCATCAACAAATGCCGCCCTCTTTACCTTTACTCCCAGATCTCGCTTATCTAAGTTCTTAGCGACCCACCTCGGAATTTTTCTTTTTTAGTTTTTTCTGTTGTTATGGCGACTCTTCAAAGATTCAAGCTTTTGGCTACCCAGTGCGCCGTCGCCGGCAGCCCAACGCGGAGCCCGACAACCAGTCCAGTTATCCACCTTCGCCGCCGCAAGACACTCCGGATGCTACTAAATCGCCGCCGATTCGCTCGCCAAGATGACGATGACTTGAACCGAGATATCACCGATAAATCTCCCGAGATCAAGAACAAAAAGATGAGAGCCAAGTTGAAGGATTTGTTTGTTTCGTCGCCGCCGTTTGAGGAGAAAGATTCGGCGAGCGGGGAAGATAGGGAAGGGCTTTTACCGGTTACTGGCAGTGTCGGTGGTGGTGGTAGTGGGTCTGTATCCCGTCGTGGCTCGGCCGGTTCGCTTAGGCCGATATCGGCGACATTTCGGTATCGGTTATTGAGAAGAGCTTGGCGACCTGTGCTTGTCACTATTCCTGAGTAACGGTAGAAAATTAGTAAATCTGTGAAAATGATAAATCGAATATTTTTGTTAATTTTTATTTATTTTCCATTTTCTCTTTTTATTAGGGAGCATCTGAATATATGATTTTGGAAAAAAAAAAAAAAAACAAAAACAAAACAAAAATAATTAAAAATTTTATAGCCGCGTGCATTGGATGCTACTTATATATATGTTTTTAATTTTTACCCTTTGATTGATCATTGGTATTTTTTTTTATTTATATAACAGTGTATAAATCATATGCATAACAATTATATAATTTGAATTAAATATAATTAATCAAAATTATGTGCACACTAGTACGAAATATCCAAGATTTTAGCTGCCCAATTTAGCAAATTCATATAATGATATGATTATTATGTTGGATATTTAATATATATTATAAAGTAAGAGGTTGAGTTATGTGAATATTTATTTATTGAAGGCGCAATAGATCATGAAAATGAAAACAAGGGGACAAAGACAAGACAAATAAATGATGAAATTTTAATATAAAGTCTGTCTCTCTTGCAGCTTCCATATGTTAATGTTCAGTAATGTTAGAGAAATCTGTGTGTACTTTATACATACATACTATACTAATTATTCTGAAATAGAGTAGGACCCTTAACCATTTTTGGGATATACATTATTAATTGGTCACTCTTGCTCAGTCTGGGATCTCTAAATTATGATGTTTCATTGCAATCATGCTAGTAATGAACATTATTTTTGCTCTGAACAAGCTCTTCATTTTTATTATTTTTTTCCATTATCTCCCTGAAATTATGGGTGCTTTATAAATATAACATTGATTTTATTGTATATATACATATAAGAAAAAGAAAAAGGGAAATGGGATAGGGATTTAGGGACCAGAAACTTTGTAAAATGGCCCAGAAAATGCAGAATATGAAACGGAAGAATTGATAGGTCACTTCCTGAATGAAGATGGCGTCTTCATAAATTGAAGTCTAGTCAATATACTTTCAAAAGGGCATCTTATCTATGTCCCACTATCAGCAATAAAATGAAAATGGGAATCAGCAAGCAACAATAACACCATTTTACCTTTTCAGAATTTTCCAAGTCATGAATAATATATCCTGGAAAAAGAAAAAAGAAATAAGAGATTTTTCTTTCTGTCTTTTAAGTTACTATTTCACTTTTTTAAAAGCATGTGTTATTCTTCTATCTTCCAGCTGGATAACCATAAGCTTCACTCCCAAGTCTAATGGCCTATATTGTTCACTGCTGTGTATCGCTTTCTTTTATTGAATATAATTTTGTTTCATTGTCTATGGCATGCTAGATAGCTCGCCACGGGCCAATTTGGTGCATATTATAGGTTGAAATGTGTGCAGATTTTTTTGCCAACTCGACCGACAATAAACAATGTGAAAAGGGGTGATGGTTTTGTCTTCAGAGGGCTGCTGCCGTTTCAATTGATTTCAAACAGTATTTACTGAATCATGATAAATGACAACGGGTTGATCAGTTTTGTTTCTGATTTGTAATTGTAGCAGAAAATAAGAAATGGCTTTGTTGGATTCTTTAGAAACTCTAATGTAGCTGCTTTAAGGCCTATTGGGCTCCTTGTCTGCTTGCTAAAAGCCCTTCTAAACATAGAGCTTATTTGCATATACTTGAAACTACAATAGAATTCTGTGTTCCCATGTTTTTGTTGTTATGACTATGTACTGAAGCTATCCGACAATGATTTATGAAAAAACAGTGAAAAAGAAATACAGAATTACTTTGTTTATTAAGTTCCATTTTTGGAGATTTTAGAAACCTTGGAAATAAAATGTAATGTAAGAGAGGGAGGAGACATAACAAAGAATCACTTCACATGATCCATGGACTTCCAGGAAAATCTCATCTCAGGAACCTAAGAAATTAAGTCAAGCTATTTATAGCGGTGAACATGCTCCATGTTTTTTGTTCGCATTGTCTACCCTTTTCCGGTTTCCACCCTTGAATGTGAGAACCAATGCTGCACAATTTTCAAAACTCTTTTCATCTTCAGTGTTATTTCCAAAGTTTTAATTAATTTGTGGCGTGCGTACGTGCCTTGACAACAAGAATTTCCTAGTGATCATCGTCTTCACAGAAATCTAATGAGAGCTTTATCGATCCTCTCCATTTCTTCTTAGATCTTCAATGATCTCTTCGCAGGTTGTCTTTGTCTGCTTCGGCAGTTCGTTGGTTGTCAAAAATACTGTCAACTTATCTATAATTGATTTCTCCTCCATGGCTAAAATCCTGCAAATTAAATGACGCGTGATTCTTTTGATTCTCTCCCATGATTAATAAACTTGTCCATCTTACCCGTTGAGTTTGCAGGCAATGTTTGACTCTACAAACTGAACTGTGCTCCTCAGGCTCAAACTCTCACAAAGCCAGCAATATTTCTGCAAATAATACTTCTGATGTTGGTTCTCCGCTACGTAAAAATAAGAATCAAATTTTATGATTTTCGTCACAATCCTCTTGTTCAGCTTCATCTGCCGTCTAATCTTTGACTCTTGTGCTTGCTTCCTCTCTTCCTCTTTGATGTAATAAATAGCTGATTTTCTGTGTGTACTTAACCCAAAATTCTGCATGAAAAATCTCCCTTCGCATCAGTCAACGACCATTTTTTATGATCATTTGATGGCAATAATTAACTTCTAACAAACAGAAAATTGTATAGTGAAGAAGAAGAAATAATAGATGATAACAAGGTAGTTTCTGTTGGTGGGATCATGCGTTCCCCAGAAGATATCACACAATGATCTGTATGAGATTTTTGTCATATCGTAGATGATTTATACTGCTTCAGTGTGGCCAGTTCTTCCTTCACAAACCTGGAAATGTAAAGTAAACTTAGAAGAAAGAATTATATGGTAATTAATCGGGTTTAAAATTTGACTATTTCTTAAACTTTTACCTCTCTGTATGTAGGTTTTTTCAGTGTGCCTCCACAATAGCCAGTAGCGGTCTTTACGACTCCATCTACACTTCCAAACGCAGCTTCAAGATCCAAAAAACTATCTGCAAAACCCACTGACGTTATACACGCATCAATGAAACAAAAAATAAAAAATCACACACAGAGAGAGTGCACCTCCTGCAAAAACTGCTTCACTGAGGAACTCTGATGGAATAGTAGTGACTGATTGTGTAGCAGTCTCTGCGGAGATAGGAATGTTTGAAGTTTGAGTAGTGAATTGAGGAAGTACTCTGTACATGGCGTTCATGATCAAACTCAGAATCAGCTTCGTGCTGAACAATATTGAAAATCTTAGCTAGAGATTTGACTTTAATGAATAAGGAAGGTTACCTGAGACAGAGAAAGCACCTTTTTAGCATCTTTGGGAGCTATCTACTTGCCTCATTTGATAACTTCTTTGCTTCATTAATTGACCGCGTTCGCGTCTCGGTTTTGACCAATTTTAAATTGCAGTTTCTCTCTTCTTTATATGTAAACCGCCCAGTAGGCTATATTCCATGCATGTGAGCACTACAACAAAAAGGGCTTATAGCTACAAATTTTTTTGTTGCTAAAAACCTAGAAATTATTGCGGTATACATTTAGCGACAAAAACAAATCGTCGCTATGATTGTCGCGGTAGGCATGTCGCGTTTGATTTTATGTGACAATTTGTTAAAACCCATTCGTGACACACAATTTGTTGCATAGCTAGATGGATTTTACATCATTGTTTATATTTTTGTCGCCAAACATGTTTCCCGACAAACAAGTTGTTGCGTAGCCAGATGGATTTTACGTCATTTTTTATATTTTTGTCGCCAAAAACATTTCTCGATGCACAATTTGTTGCGTAGCCAGATGGATTCTGCTTTGTTTTTTATATTTTCATCGCCGGAAAGGTATTACAACGGGCCTTTTGTTGCGTAGCTAAACTTCGTTGGCGTCGCTCTATATATGTTCGTCGCCAAAAACATTTTATGGCGCCATGCATTTGCGTTGCTAAATACTTTTGGCTATGTTTTGTATTATTTTCGTCTCTTAAAAGTATCCACGGCGACATATAGTTACGTCGCGAAAAAACTTGGGTGTCACTTTTTTTATTTTCGTCGGCAAAAACATTGTATGACGAATTATGTCGTCGCTAAGTCCGTCGCCAATTTGCTTCCCGCCATCTTGTGAGAGGATTAGAAATTCCGCGAAACTATTGGCAACCAATTTCATATTTCGTCGCTAATAGTTACCTTTGGCGACGACTTTTGAAATCGTCGCTNAGGATAACAATACTCAACCCACAGTCTATCCTCAGGGTGTCAAGTATCAATATCCTACCCACGATCTATCCTCAGGGTGTAATCCCGCCTGAAGCTTGTCAAGCAGCCGTCATGTCCTGGTAGGATGGTATAGATCGACATTGTTTGTAGTACAAGTCATCTCAATACGTGCATGAGGCTAATCAGATCCCACTCAAGCCAATACCCGCTTGGTGTCATCTCGACAAATCCCACCCAAGGTCTATCATTGATTATCATAATCCACCTAGACCAATATTCGCTTTGCGTAATTCATCAAATCCCACCCAAGATCTATCATTGATTATCATAATCCACCCAAACCAATATTCGCTTTGTGTAATTCATCAAATCTCACCCAAGGTCTATCCTCGGGGTATCATAATCCACCCAAGCCAATATCCGCCTAGTATAATCCGTCAAATCCCACTCAAGGTCTATCCTCGGGGTATCATAATCAACCTAGGCCAATATCCGCTTGATATAATTCATCGAATCCCACCCAAGTTCTGTCCCCGGGGTATCATAATCTAGCCAAGCCAATATCCACCTGGTATAGTCTGTCAATTCCCACCCAACGTCTATCCTCAGGATATCAAGTAATAATATCCCACCCACAGTCTATCCTCGGTGTGGTATCATCCATATTCTATCCTCAAGATGACATATTTTCATTGTGCACATAAGGTTAGATATAAGTATTAGCTGATGTTTGAAGGGAGATGGGTGCTAGAAAGGTGGCTATTGTAATGTAAAAACTTCCACAATCACACCTTTGAATTTCCCAACCTTTAATAATATTGCATGCTTTCA